TCCGGTGCTATCTAAAGTCATAGAGTTTATGAATGCCGAAGCCCTCATGAATTATTTGGAAGCATGAAGAAGAAGATGAACAAGTAATCGAACAGCAATGATTTCGCCAGAACCGGTGTTGCACCACGAACCTGAAGTTTGCTCGCTCCAGTTGGACTGCAATTGTTGACAGCGATGTTGCAGTTGACGCAGTTTATCTGGACTTCTCAAAGACCTTTGACCGTCTGAATCATTGTATCCTCATTCAAAAGCTTCATTGTGGTGAAAATGGTAACCCATTTCCCCGGCAGATAGATAACTTCATAGTTCAAAGACATCTGAATGCGAGCTTTCAGAGCGCCATTTCTGACCCTATCGATGTTTGGTGTGGAGTGCTACAGGGCGCAGTAATTGATCCATGCCTAATCCTGTTTCACATAAACGATCTACCATTTACTTACTCTTCCCTGATGATCTCAAGATATGGCGGGCCATCAAAACAACGAGTGACCACATACCGCATTAGGATGACCTTGAGAGGGTTTACGAATGGGCGACTCAGAGCCTGCTACATTTCAACACCACCAGATGTAAGACATCGCGTGTAGGCCATCAATCCACTTGCCAGTACAGGCTGGTGGATCAAGCTTTGCAGCGTGCTACTACTGAGTGCGATCTAGGACCGGACTGTTCGCGTCAGATCAAGAAGGCGTCCAAAATAGCCAACCAACACCTTGGCCTTTTGCGGAGAGCGTTCGGGCTTTTTGACCGTTCAATCTTCTCTCCGGTGCTGAATGTTCACATTAGACCCCATTCGTAATACCCCTTTCACAATTGGCAACCCGGGCAAAAGCACGACCCCACCGTACTTGAATTGTCATAACGAATTGCGACCAAAAACCTCCATGGTCTGTTTCATCTCCCTTACCAACTGAGGTTGAAAACCCTTGGGGCATAGAGTGGATAATGTCAACTCATGTGTGGCGTTTTGATAATGACATTTTTGATCCACAAGAATCCAAAATATTATTGTACTCATCTGCTGAAGCTGAATCAAAATATTACTCTGAGAAGTCACTAGCTAATGCTGATCACACAGTATAGTCCGTTGGATTGTCGCCAGCATTTTTTCACTTCTAGTGTCCCAACCTTGGAACGCCCTCCTCACTTACGTTGTTTCTTCCCCCACACTAACTTGTATGCACAACTACCGCCTAGAACCACACATTCTACAGCGGGCTTCTCACGAGTGCGATCTCGACGTGCTAGCTCAAGACGACCTCGGTTGTTCGAGACAGACTGAAAAGGTAGCTAAGAAAGCGAACCAGTAACTCGGCCTTCTACGCAGAGCCTTCGGGAAGTTTAACCCTTCAATCTTTCAAAAATGCTTAGTGCGTACGTGAGGCCGCACGCGGAATTCGCTATTCAAGCGTGACAACCCTGGCTCAAGCACCTTCTCACCGCGCTCGATACTGCACGACGCAGGGCAACGAAGAACGTCAGAGGCTGATGACCCTCAAAATATACAGTGGATGTTATCGGTGTCTAAGGGGCGATCTCATAATGGTGTACCAGATCCTGAGAAACCCCAACCACTCATGCCATTCCCTTCTAATACTCAGTCGAAACACCTCGCTAAGAGGTCACCAGTTGAAGTTAGTCACACAGTACAGCCGCCTAGAATGTCGGCGAAACTATTTTTCCCTTCGAGTGGCACAGCCTTGGAACGCCCTCCCGGAACATGCAATTAATGCACCCACCCTGTCCCTTTCCAAAAAGCGCCTTGACGATACTCTGTCACATTTACACTACGTGCTATAGCCCATGACCACCAGATGCTGGCACTAATGCACAACAGACAGGGGATAGTGCCATAACCCTACTCGAGAATGAGTCACTGCAAACGCCTTGCACGAAATTTGATAAACGCTACTACTATAGAAACTGGATTTCTGTATCCTGTCGACCCAAGATAGTTGCACACGAGCAAGCGTTGTCTTTGCTATCTCTTTTTATTTTTCTTGCCTATTATGTGATCAATAACCATTCCCCTTATTGCTTTGTGTGCGTACATTCTCATTTCAAACTCCCTTTGTACGACAGTGCAGTTACATCTGTAATCGCCCGAACTGACGACTCCATTATCCCTTGGCTATCTTTTTTGCACTCTATCCACCCTACGGGACATGTCAAACAACTGCTTTCTTACCCGTTATAAATCATTGTTCATTGTATCCAAAAACGTCTTGAAGATGCGCTCATACATTTACATTACACCATATTATCCACTATATCCAGGCGTCAACCTAACACTACAAATCAACGTACGCATTTTCACTTTCCGCACATAATTTTGTTACATGCTGCCACTATTGTGGCGACTGGATTTACCTATCCCGTCGGCCCAAGAGTACTGCACAAGAGTAAGGATGGTCATTTCGCTTATTCGTTCTTTTCTCATGTATTACCTGAAACGTAAATGCTCCCCCTATTGCTTGGTGTGCGTACATACAGTTCTCATCTCAAACTACTAGTATACAGCATCGCAGTTAAATCTGTAGTCGCTTAAACGGACGATTCACTTATCCACAGATCTATATATCTTTTCATCCCAACCACCCTACGGAAATTTTCAAACACCAGCTATTTTACCCGTGAGAAAGCATTGTTCGTTGTTCAGCAACTGAAATCGTCAAGAATAGTGTTAAACAATTTGTGACAAGACTAAACCTACTCAACATTTCACAACTCAGGTTCACTATAAAACCTTCCTGTATCGCATACCAAATGAAGTTTCCATCATGTTACCTCAGCAATTGGCGGCGGTATGGACATCATCAGCTTTCCCTTCTGTCCCCAGAAGTGTCACTAGTATATCGTTCAGTAGAGTCTATTTGGTCCATTATATTTTCTCATTTACATAACGGGTATATGTGATTACATTAGACCTTGGCGCCCATTTTTATTCGCACTTGATCTCAACCTACTGTCCTCATTTCCACCTTAGCATCTGGATCTATGTACGAAAAAATATGCGAAGATTTATAATCCCTAAATAAATAGAATTAAAGCAAACCTATGAACTCGGATACTGTGCTGCAGACAAGGTATATCAAGAGGATCCATTTTAAATGTGTACTCCGTTTGAGACTTGTGAATTCGATACTCTAAGAGCTTCAACTTCTCCGAACACATCCTATATCAAGTCGCGAAGGCGAAACGACTAACAAGCCACATCACTAGGTCACACTTATTATTCTAAACACGACACGAATCATACAAACTTAGTACGGCTCACACTAGAGTCACGGACCACTACGGATATCTATTTTCGGCAGATAGAACTGCTTTGGAGAACGTCCAGCGCTAGTTTCGCAACATCATTGTGGAGCGCTCATCAATGCATATCAATGAGGAACGATCTCACCTGCTCGTCTTAAAGCGACTTCGACGACTTAAGGTCAACCTCACTCTTTTCCGCTATAGCATACAATTGCGAATTATTTCAACCAGTACGGCTATGGCTTGACAAAAGTGCTAAACTTATCCCAACCGTAATGGGAAATATCTGCTATTCATACAACAACTCAAGTAAAATATTGGTCTTAAAATTCTTCCTGCTGAGGTACTTTTACCTGTGGAATTACAAGGACCAGCGCGAATTTGTTTACCTTTAGGTCTCATGTCAAAAGACATTTTTCAGGTTAAATGCAGACAAGCGTTTCGGTCTTTTGAACGCTACGAGCTAACTTGTGGAATTAATGTCCGAAAAACATGCGACAGTGTATGGCATTACTGATCCAAGTTGCATCCAAACTTCATAATTGAAACGCCGATGAAGCTCGCTGTAAAATAGACTGTTCCGCAAACTGGAACGTATCTCACCTGTAGGGAAATATGCTCATTTATTTATTAAGCTTCCTTCTCTGCACATTGCGGTTATAGTGAGCTTTGCTAGCTAAACCTACATTTGACACTGATCACTGACTTGTTGATTGACTTCGACTGAACCGCAGCGGGCTGCTATTCTCATGACTTTACCAAACACAAGTTTTTGGATGGTCATTTACTGAGAATCCAATTGAATGGATGTAATTTGGTTGCTCGCACAGTCAACTGGGTCGGATGTTTTAGGCATTACTCAAAATAAGGGACCCGGCTTGAGCACACCGTTGGACTAAGTGGCCAGACAAGTAGGTATACTAAGCACATATGGTAGCAACTGAAACCTATTCCTCACGTGATAGTACCCATTTCACTCACAAATACATAGTTATGTAAAGCCATCAACAGATCGTTCACTCTGTTTGTCGAACCCAAAAGTCAAAACCTTCCGTTTGGCTACTAACATTTGCAAATCTTTTGTGTCAAACATTCTTAGAATCCTTATTCACAACCAACATTGTCTGGATTCAAATTACTTAGGACGAAGTGATAAGGATGCGGAGTTTTCTATAAGCTCTTTACCAAGAAGTACTTTTCAAATAACACCTCAGCTTTTTTGTAACCTCAGTTTTGGCTCCTCACCTCATGACTTTTCGGGGTCACAAATTAGTAGTTGAGAAAAAATGTACACCCATACCTGTGTTCCAACTCTTTGAGCACCGGTGTGCAGTAACTGGCAGTGAGTAGATTCCGTCTGTGTTTAATACACTCCTTTACGACCGTCGGATGGAATTTCCAGGGTACCATGCTGATGACCAAGTCATGTTCTCGCATCAGCTTCCCCAATTTTTCTTTATCCTTCAGCACGTCCAACTTTCGCATTGTCAGATTTTTGAACTGAGAGCTGATGGTAGATAACTCCTCTTGCGAATTGGACACTGATAAATAGGTAGAACGTAGTGCAGCTGTTGGTATCATACAATGGCTTGCACTGGTTAGAGAACAAAAGTCGGAAACCCGGTACTTGGCGTCCCTTCGTCCTATATTCGTTTATCACAAGAAAAGCGGCCGCTTAAATTTACAATTACCATGGAAGACTGAGATTAGCAAGCGTTCTACCTGTAAGGGACATAGTTTTTCTTATTTGACTTTATGTTGATGTATGAAACTTATGCAGAACACCCCATCGGCACCGAGTTGCAACTCGGTAAAAGCATTGTCGTAGTTTGCGCCCCCTTATGCTGTTCCACGCAATATCTGTGATCCCGCGGTGTTTCGCTCAGCGTACATGTTGGCATTTCCATAAATTGCTTTCTTGCTAACTTAATGTTCAATTGGAGGCAAACAATGTGCACCTTAGGACGTATCCGCCTTGGCATTTCGACTAATCTGGTCAGTACCCTAATACGAAACATAAGGGACAAAATTGGTTAAACTGCTGCTCAAAACATCTACTGAGGTACCCGCCTGTCGCTTCATCTTGCAGTAGCCGTCCGATGAACATCAGATCTGTGATGAGAGATGAGACGAATTTGCCTGACGTGGTTATATATTGTCATTTTCGCTGAGGTCGCTTCATTGTACGAAACGTTTATCTTTGAAGAGTTAGAGTTCTGTAAGAGCTCCACTAGTGTAAGAGGGAGGTTGTAGCAAGTAGACAAAACCTTGTGATGGCAGCGGACTTGATTAGGGGGAATGCTTTATACAACGCAGTCCCTCCAAAATGTTGTAACTTCCATTGGACTGCGCGATCCTCAGTTGCTTTTTCTGAGACCATTCAGGTACACAAGAACCAGACAGCTCAACTTTTACTAATTGGTTAACTAGCTTGTTTTACCTCATAACACACATAAGAAGGTGCAGAATCTCGCTCAAAAAACGGGATTTGAGCTACTCAATAGAGGTTCCATGCATTCGGACCTGGGCTTCGGTTTGGAACCGTAATGAGCGGAAATTCCGATCCGAAACCCGTTAGTGCGTTGTACACTTGATGAAGAATAGATGAGTTACTTCCTCTCAGCGACCGGCATAGGGACATTGGGTTTCACTTAATATAAACGTCGATATGTGTGCTTTCTCGGTAGGTTCAGCCTCAAGACATAAGCAGGTTAACAAATAAACAAAAGGTGTCAGACGAAAAACATTTCTTTAAAATTTCCACGCGGTTATTTTTCTCTAAGTACTGTAAAATGGCATAATGATCTTATCTATTTAGTTTCAATCGCCCGCACAAAGCACTGTTCTCCACGTCCAAATTCGCACTTATATGCACTAAGCAGGCAGAGATAGCAGCGATTACGCGTTGGGCGCCATTAAAATACTGTTCCAAAACGACCCCACCAAACAGTCACTAACATTTGTGGTAATTGTTTTGGTGCGACCCGGTGTCTTAGGTGCTGTGTCTCGGCTGACCCTACGAAGATCCGGTGTTCGAGCCGTGGTACTGCTATCCTTACCTGAGTACGGAGCCGCACATAGCTCAGATATTATCCTATTGGCCGAACTGACCAGTTTTCACTTTAAGCAGATTTGCATTTCTGATTGAGGTTTTCGTATCCTAATCCATTCACGCAACTCTGGTTCCAAAACTGACCTCTCTAGTCGATTTTGTTTGCCTATTCGGTCACTTGCATAGATTCAGGAGTCACGTGAGCTAAAATGCGGGCTAGAGAGGATTAATCGGGGCGGTACTTTTAACAGACACACAGGGATAACCTTAAATGTTCTATTGATAAAAGCAGAGGAACAGAAGTTGACGTCGAAGGGCCTTATAACTGCTCCATATTGATGTGGGCAACGAGGGTGCTTGTTAGGTAACAACATAACTTCGTCTCTGAGAATACGGTCTGAGGCAAACAGAGACCTTTTGAGTTAATTTATGATTATCTTTTACCCATATATTTTTAAAGATAGTTGAGCGATTTGGTGTGCAATTATTTCATCACTTTTCGGATATTCATTTCTAAAATATAGATAATAATGGATGTCTTTGGTCTTAGCACTATGACATCATGGGACTGTATAGCGTTGTCTCTACAGATCGCTGGTTACAATGCGGTTGTTTAATCATCCGGCCGCACGTCAACAACCGACCTTCTTTACAGATTTTATAAACCGGAATCGAAGTTGCCATCGTACGTTCGTTCGGCTGAGAAAGTACTGGACTACTGGAGTAAATAATCATCAGCATCATTATATACTCCAACTAGAGGTGGGAAACACCTCAGCTACTGCGCCGCAATACATAAATGAAAAAAGAAGATAAATGCAATAGTTGCATGCCAGCTGAGCTACCAGCAACGGATAGGCATCATTCCGGTAGGCTACCAGCCGGTTACTAGGCAAAAAACAAAATAATTATTATGTTTTACCCTAAGAAATGTGATCGTAGGTGGATGGGGAGGCTAAAAGAGATGGGGAGGGACAATGAAACTCACAGCAGGAACGCCACTGAGGTCGGCTTCTTGCCATGTCAGAAAGGGTAAACACCTTTTACTGTTCTTATTTATGCATCAGATTAAAACTTGTGGTGACTCATATCGGTATTGCAATAGCTACGTGAAAAGATACTCAAGAGACAACTAATCTAGATAGGTCAGTCCACTACGCATAATAAAGGCGATTAGGTTATCTGTTAGTAATAAATATTTCATTACACTGTGACCGCTGAAATATCAAGCGCTTCTATAATCTAGTAAATTACTCTCTGAAAGTAATCACAGCAACTATTAAAGAAATTTATGCCAAGTTATCAAGAATGGAAAGCGAACTTACCAACAGTCAAATAAGTGTGCTTGTCGCGATTCAAATACTCCAGCAATGATGGCACCACATGACCGGCACCAAGTACGAGGACGTTTTTTCTAGCTTCTCCAGAGGATGAGTGGTGGCTTGTGGCTCTACGTGTAATCCGCAACTTGTCTATATACGCGTATCTCGGAGTTAGCTGGCCGTTTGAAGTAATCACTGCCTGAAAAAGGTGGAAAAGCTAGCTGATCAACAAATTCGCCACCAAACTGGTTGATGTTGAATCGGAAGACATCGTCTATGACACGAAGACAGCGTTATCAGTTTTCCAGGTTTTAAGCAACAACACATACAAGGCATCATTCAGCAGCGCATTTGAGATCAACAGTTATGGCAGAGGGGCGCTGAATCGCCGTACTTCCTCGACAGAACGCGAGTGGTTATATGCTCGCCCGGAATTATTTTCTGCATTCTTTCAGTGTGTCCCATTAAATGACCGAGTGAGGGCACCTATGGTCCTCGGACCTAGGTGACGCCTATGGACTTGGGTGAAGCCTACGGGCCTGTTAAGATATGATGCTTGGGGAATGAAGAGATAGCAAACTACTCATTTGGGTGGCTAGCCGAACAATCTCATTGTGATGCCAGCTATGTGGATCGGGTTTACCGCCTTCCACTAACTAGTTCGGCGGCAGTGTTTAATAAGTTGGTGGGTTTTCGCCTGGCAAGCGTTCGCCGTATAAAAAGCCACGAATGTCTGTTTGACATCAATGTGACGTGGCGGTTGTGACGCCAACAACTAAAGTCACCGCCTAGCTTAGCTGGAGAGCCCCTTCAAATACATCATCAAGTATCCCTTTAGCACTGGCGACACGATCAAAGTGCAGCACAGCATTTACAAGTCCCATAAACACGACTACCCTAGCCTACATGCACACGCACAAATCTTCATATTTAAATATATGTGACAATCCTATTGTCCCATGCTATATTTTCCGATCCCATTTTGTACACTTAACATGATCATGCATGTGCAGGCGTGGCTTGCTTATTCGAGAAGGAACATTGTATTTATTTCTTCATGTATTAGTCATAGTAATTAAGTGAACAAGAGCGTCAGAGCTATGGGACTTAGAACCCACAGTATCGAAAAACAGCCTAGGTAGGACACCATGTCATTGACAACGCAGTCGGCATGCATTCAATGGAGGACGATAAGCTTGGTCTGTGCCTGAGTGCTTCCGTTTATAAGTGTTGTTTATCCACCCACATAATGTTTTCTTAATCTGGTCCGCAGCTCGGAGCTACTGCACTCAGGTGCTGACGAAAACCGGTCCGCAGAATTTCTAACTGTCCAATGGAGTAAATTGTTTTGCCGGCTTGGATTAGATGGGACACAAAGACGCGACATGTGTGCTTGCAATCGCAAGGCACACCCAGCAGTTCTGCTGTGGGAGGTGAACATAAGCAAGCACCACAGCCGCAACGGACCAGACATCCGGGGATCACAGTGCAAGACCAAGTAAATGCACGCCGTTCGGTTGTGAGCACTGAACGTTCACCAACAGCACAGCCACAATCGACCTGCAACGCATGGATCGCAGCACAATACCAAGGGAACGCACGTCGAACTGAACGTGAACCAGACACCCCATAGCCGCACTGAACATGCCATGCTTCGGTCGATCGGTATTCGGCATACACCCAGGTGAAAAAAACCAGCAAAAGAGTTCCCTGTGAAGTGAAGTAGCTCGCTGTGTTAGCAACTGAGCAAACTAGCTTGCCCTTATTTGTTGACCGGTCGAAGGACGCCGCATTGATATCGCCACAAAATCCGTCGGCCTCATGACTGGCTTCCAACAAACCCGCAAGCTTTTACTAGCCGGTTTCGCTGCTAAAGGGAATCCTACTGCCGGGAGCACACTGTAAGGTTCCAGTTGTGCTCGCTTTAACATTTCGATCGTGTGTGTGGGTTGCAGCTGAAAACTCACCCTTCGTGGGTGCATAAAAACGATTTCTTGACTTGACTTGACGTGAAAATGCTTTTCGCTTTCAGTCTGTCCCGACGCACTGGTGGCACCGTTAGAACACACATCAATTTAGTTGTAAATAAAACTATTGCCCTCACAGTCAGCAAATTACTTGTACAAAATGATCAGGTCTTCGATGATGTTTCCCATGTACAATCTAGCATATACATATAATCATTTCTTTACTTATCTTTACACGGAATATGTGAACTGTCTATAAATACCAACGAATTAGCTGTTCGAAGTGCCCTCCGTCGTTTCAGCTACAGATGAGCATGCACCGGATGGTGTTGGCGAGCACTTTCTGCAATGTCTCGAAGGTAATCTGCTCACATTCGTTCATAATGTCCTCTTTCAGTTCATCCAAGTTTTTTGTTTCCGTTCTACAAAACCTGCACTTCAAGTATTTCCATGGGAAAAGGTGCATGGGATTCAAATCCGGTGATTGCGTAGACAATTCTCTCAGTCCTCGCGACCGAACCAACGTCCACCAAATGTCTCATTCAGGAAGGCATGAATCGATCGAGCTGAATGTGCAGGTGCGCCATCTTGCTGCCGCCAAATGTTGTTTATTAACCCTTCCGACTGCAGCTGTGGTAGGACGCTGCTCTGCAACGTTTCTATGTACGATGATGCCAAGAAATATCAGGCATTAGTAATGTTAAGCGACAACCTACCGGGCACACTCCAGGGAAAGAAAAACGCCCTAATGATTTTTAAACCAATCAACCCAGCCCAGGTGGTGAGCTTTGCGCTATGTTACACACGTGAAGCGCTACATTGTCGTGGGTAGGTTGTTGCCCAACCGTGTTGCGTATCCTGGCCATGCAGGAGAAAATCAGCCACATCGGTGGACAAAAAGCAATGCACATTCACTGAGTAAAAACAAACGGAAGAATTCCAAGGGCTTCTGCGATTCGAATGTGTTCAACACTTGCATCTGCAGCGTGCGGTACCATCGGAATTTTGTCCTTCAATATCCTTTGCACAGCATACGGTGGGGTTTCGCAATGTTGTACGCGTTGCAGACTGCTGAGATGTCCGCTACTGCATACCTCCAGCGCAAAGGCGCAAGCTGATAGTTTATCCGTGACGGCGAGAGGCCGTCCGGTTTGTTTGATGTTGCGAACGCTGCGGATTTCTACAAATTTCTTCACCACTCGACGCGCTTACCGTTCGCTAATGGGCCGCGTAACGTAGTGCATACAATTATAGCGCCGGGCCATTTCCGCCGCATTGGAGCCACACTCACTACACCGCTGCAAAATGACCACGCGCTGATAGACCGGCGCATTACGTGAGTGCGGTTACTGATACATCGACGACACGGGTGTAAACTCCTTCTCCATTTCTAGCCCAACGAACCACTAAACACCTCGCAGGGAACCCTGTTTGCTGACATTTCACCTGAGTGAAGGCTGACTACCGATTGATCGAAGCAAGACACGTTCAGTGCGGCTACGGGGTGTCTGGCCAAAGTTCAGTTCTCACAGCCGAACGGCTTGCGTTCCTTTGGACTTGCCCTGCGGTCGACGTATTCGTTGCAAGTGTGGTATTTGTTTACGTTCACCTCCCACAGCCGAACTGCTTTGTGTGCCCTGCGATTGTAGGCACACATGTCGCGTCTCTATGTCCCACCTAACCCCAGCAGGCAAAACAATTTACGCCATTGGACAGTTAGCAATGCAGCGTACCGATTTTCGTCAGCACCTGAGTGCAGCAGCTGCTAGCTCCGAACCAGCTTAATAAAAGACCCTGTAAGCGCATTAGGGCCTGACCTACAGTGCACATGTGACTTCCCTCACCGTAAATGTCTTATCACATTTCAGCCTCGGAACGATCCACTGGTTTAGAAATTCAGGTCCATCTCCGGAACGTTTAACTTTCCTGTGCGTACGGTTCGCCGTCAGTGCCTGGTTCTTCTTCAGTGTACAATCTGGTCTGCGTTTCGTTTGATGTATCTGATTACAGTGCACGAAAGTGGTCTGAGCGGTGACAAATTGGCCGGCCGTCTGGAAGTTCGACGTCGTTTTGTCTTTTCGAGTAACAAATTATGGTGGCAAGTTACTAGTGGGTTTCTTGTGGGTTTCATGGTGTAGACCAAGTATTTCCTCACAAGTTGCATCTTTCTTCACCACATCTGAAGATAATGACATCATCTGTCACTCTTCTATCCGCACTCGTGGATTAGAAAACAGTAGCTTCAACCTTGTCTTGAGTTGTTTGCCAAACATCCGCCCTGCTGGTTACTTACCCGTAACCTTATTAGGTGTGGTACGAGAGACAAATAGGAAACGATCCAGCTTTGTTTTTAGGACCTTTTCACTCTGTTTAAACAGTCTTCGTTTCACTATCTGTACCGCCCGCTGTGCCAACCCGTTGGATACTGGATAATTGGACGTCAAATTTAGATACTGAATCCTGTTGATAGTGACAAATCCGTTGTGTTCCGTGCTTACAAATGGGAACCCGACATCCGTGCATAAGGTTTTTGGAATATCGAAGGTGGCGAAGGCTTTAATCATCTTAACAATGGTGGTTTCGGGCGCTGCTTGCGTGACGGGATACACTTCAACTCACTTGGAGTGGGCGTCATAGCGTTCCAGAAATATAGTTCCATTACTCCGGCCGAAGTAGTCGACGTGGATCCGTTGTCACGGCTTGCCGGGTCAGCGCCACGCATGTATTGTGTTGGCGTGCCTGGCAGCTATCACAACTCCACAGCGTATTCTTGATAACTACATCTATCCCCGAGTACCATCATCAATATTCCATTGTTAACGCTTTCATTCTAGAGACGCCTGGATGTGCGACATGGAGTTCGTGAAAGATCTATTCCCGAGACTTGCTAGTAGGGACTAATGTAGCGCTCTAACAGATAACTATTATCTTTTGTGTACTATTTCGCCGATGACCAATTGTATAGTATTCTCTCTTGTTTTAAGCTCGCTTACATTACGTCCATGTTGACCTACATCCGACTCGACACTTGACCGTCTTGTAAGTTCCCGCGTTAACGTGTTGCTCTTGTCTCGCTTCGTCCGTCCCCGTCTTCTTGTAGCCCATGGAGTACAGTCCTCTTTGTCCTACTCCACTTGTCTTCCGATATCCGTGCTTAATTTCGCACTCCGTCTCGGACTAGTATTTAATAGTCCAACACCAATCGGGAACCCCAGAACGCACAACCATCGAATAAATTCAGTTCATTCCTGCTTGCTATAAATGGTTGCACATCAGTGGCTCCTTCGATAGGCCGTCTGTCTGTTAAGCATCGTTTGGTTGTTGCGAGAACTGGGTCTCCGTCTGTCAACTGACGGATTGTGGAGCTTGGTAGAGGCCTTCTAGATAGATGTTGCATCAGGTGAAACTAGTTACAGGGAGAATGAGGGACATTTTTCATCGCTGCAACTGGTAAACGGCTCAGGCTATCATCTGGGCGAATGCAGGTACCAGGTATGTAGGTAAATTTATAATTATATGCGCTCAAGGTCAGAGCCCACTTCTGCATTCTTGGTGAAGACATTTGTTGCATAACTATGTCTTTCCTAAGAAGGATATCAATGGCTTGTGATCTGCATGAACTTCATGGATACTGATGGAAACTTTCTCACACCAAAGATTATGGATAGGCATCCTTGTCTAGCTGTGAACAGTTTCTTTCCTTTGGTTGCAGAGTGCTTGATGCAAATGCTATGGGACGCAATGTTTGTTCATTCATGCGGCGGCACTGCACAGCATCCACACACCAAGATGCGTCACATTAGAGAATTAGGGGCTTCCCAGGATCCTAATGGACTAACACTGGTGAGCAGGTGAGGGTTTGTTTGGTTTGGTTAAGGCACTGCTTGCCTGAGACCCCAGCACCACTGTACGTTTTTATGGATTGTCTCCTTCAGAGAAGATAACATAGTGGATGCATCAGGTAAGAAACCTAGGTAATCAGATTGCATTCCTAAAACGAAAGGAGCTCATCAATGTTTCTCGGTTCAGGACATTGTAAAATGGATTTTATCTTGTCATGTAGAACATGTGACCCGACCTCAAGCCTATATCCAAGATAGCACACAAATGAAGAAAGGAACTCACACTTAGATCTTTACAATTTAAGTCAATTTCGTGTCATTCTTCAAAGTACAACCGCGAGTGTTGGTAGGGGTTCTGTGTCAGAGCGTCCGGAGATGTGAATCTCGTCCAAATGCACACAAGTGAAAGGTATATCCTTTATTAAAACATTGATAATCCTGTGAAAGATTTCGGGGCAGAATTGATGTCAAAACTTAGACGGATGTATTGGTAAAGACTCGTGTGTGTTGTAATAGTAGTAAGTTTTCGGGAGGGTTCATCGAGCTATATTTGTGAACGTGAGTGACTGAGACCAAGTTTGCTGAATTTTTCGCCACTTGCCAATGTAGCATACAAGTCTTCAATACGAGGTAATGGACATCTGGCTATCCTAGAAGACTGGTTAGCAGTCATTGTGTAGTCGCCGCAAATCCGCAAGGGGCCATCCGGCTTGACAACCGGTACGATTGGCCTTCCCAAGTTGGAAATTTGCACAGGTATTATAATTTCCTGAGTTTATAAGCGGGTTAATTCTTCTTCAACCTTAAGCCCTACAGCATACGGTATTGTTCGTGCCTTGAGGAATTTGGGCTGGGCACTGCCCTTCAATCTTATTGTAATTTGAAATATGTTCTATCTATGTGTTCTATGTTCTATCTTTTGGTTCGGAATTTCCTCCAATTCAACTACTTTAGTAACTGTTTGCTGAACATCCAACATATTAGGGAATGCGTCCATCCAGTCCCTCCCGAGTAGATTCGGTCGATATTCCGATATCACGTAGACAGGAATTCTGTGTGTCTTAGTGCCATATCGTGCCTGAACAAAGCAGTTACCAAGCAAACGAATCCGTTCACCTGTGTACGTCCGAAGGTTGGAAGTGCATGAGGACAGAGGTGTAAGGGGCTTCACAGTGTTCGTTCTAATTACTGTCACCGATGCTCCTTGAATATGAAGCTCCACAGTGTATGGCGCGGAACGTAGATTGGACGCAATATTCAGTCATACCGAAGGTAATTTGGGTTCGTTCTCTTCATTACAAACCACCACTTTGGTGGTTCGGTGTTGCTCCTCCCAACCCTGAGACCCCATGACCGGTTTCGTCCTCCTTTGGACTCATCAGATGGAGATACCCTGAGCTGGGGTGGACCTCGGGGTATAGTGTTCCAAGGTTGGCGCCCTGACCACTATGGCTCCTAGGCCCGCGAGCAACGTTTGGCACAGCGGTAAAGTGTTCCAAGTGGCATTTGGTGTACTCGCTGTGTGGTTGGATTGCGACTCGCAATCTCTATTCAGACCTCGGTCCTACCACCACTTTGTTTGCTTTTGCTCGCAGCCTATGCGGTTCCGGGTTCTGACAGAGTCTGGAAAAAAAGTACCCGGCTGTAAAACGCTGTATCGAACACCCCAGTGAGCACTGAACATATCCAAGACACTGGTTACGTATCCCAGACGTCGTCAATCCGGAGAGCGTCGAAGTATCGCTGGCCTTCATCACCCACGAACTGTCGCAATAGACTGATCTCATGTTTATCTGTAAGCGAGCTTAACAGTAGTCGGAGAACCTTCTCCGCCATCTACTCCAACGGGCCATAGGTTGTTTCTGTGTAACACGTAAGCAGAAATACGTAGGTGCATTCACAATTGACATGGTAATAGCTGTCGTCAAATGATACGTATTAGTCACAGTAAGTAAACGTACGATAGCATCTGCTTTTTGGGGCTCAGAACCCAAAGTATTATGAACAAGTCTGGACAGGACACTGTGTAATGCATAACTGACAGAATGTCCGGCATGCATTCAGTGGAATACGATAAGTTTGGTATGTGTGGGTGTGCGTGCGTGCGTGCGCGCGTGCGTGCGTGCATGTCGTTCATACAACTGTGTGGATTAGGGCTCGACCATCAGTGCACACGTGAAACCAAGCCGCTGTATGTAGCTTGAATCAGTGCAGCACTTTTGCATTCCATACCGTTCCTCCGTGTTTTGCAAACTGGTTGTCCTTTATACAATTCACACTTATCACCCAGGTTTGGCTTCGACTAGGTACTAGTCAAATAGAAAACATTCAAGAATGCTGGTTATGCGCTTAGGAAAGATGGATTTGCAGCTTTTTCGATACACCAACTTCGAAATGTTAATCCGCGTTGCCATTCTCGGCTACTCTATGTTTCATCTGGTGCGAAATCAGATCGTGCTCCATGTAGGTAATTATATAAGGTCCAAAGTAATGACAAATTTCGAGTTTTTACAATATTTGCGGTTTCACCTCTCCTTCAGCAAGATCGTCACGCAATGGAAGCCGTACCCGATAATATTTCGTGAGCCATCTTCTGTTTAGTAGTAGTAGTAGTAGTAGTAATAATAATAGGAGTGGTACAGCAAGTAGGCGACATTTGGTATATGCAAACATTTCGTGTTGTTCCTGCAGTGCCAATAACACCAACCACTGGGAAACAATATCAAATGGTGAGTGACCAAAAAAAGGAAAAACAAACTTTGGGTTCGAGATGGACGAAAACGATTCCGCCAATATGTCCACGGAAGCTTGAGGCTAACGAATAGCTTTGTGCAAGCACAGCATAGGTTGCATTCGACTAATCGCCAAAACCTCAGTGAAACGAAGAAATGGCGGATTAGAGCGCCACAGCAAACTTTTGAATGCGGTATCGAGCCGGATCCGGTGAACAGTAATCAACAGCTGTTTACCTATGTAGGATGCCGGTGGCTTACGCAACGACAGGACTGGGGTGGGGAAAGGCTGTTCCTTTACCCATGCAGGATCCACTTCGAATGTGTTCCTTCATCCGGGAAGACAATGCTCTATCGGTTGGGTCAATGTAACTGGTTCCGGGGTTACATCTAACTTGGTATACACAATGAGAACTGGCGCCGATTGGCAGAGCTTCCTACGGATGAGGTACTGGCAACTTGCTGCTTCTGTTGATGATGGTAACGATGATGATCTGAGTAGCATAGTAGGTCCTATGCGCAGTAGGAATCAGGCGCTTAGTGGTCCTTAACGTGGCAATATCACACTTGAAAGGCAATTCGATATAAACTTTGTTTGCACCGGTAAGTATTATACCCATTTTTTGCAGGTAGTCGGGCTTGTTCATTACTAACACTACCGTACTCCTATCCGGTTTCATTACAACCAAAATTTTAGCACGTAGTTCATGTAGCGCTTGAAGATTCCGGCTTGTGAACGCATATTTTTTTTATTTATAGGCACTGTTTTGATTTCGTAGGTGATATCAGTTAACTTGTTCCTAAACCAGGTCTGTTTTTCTGGGTTGATAGATTGAAGCTCCTTGAATTGATCATTAAAGTTATCAACTTGGCCTTCAAGGAATAACCCATCTGATCTTCTAGGCAGAACTTTGTAATCGATTCCAAATGACAGCGCTTCTAGTTGCAATGTGTTAAGCTGGATATTAGATAAATTCATCATGTAGTTACTGGCATCAAGAGTAATCAGCTCCTGCTCCCGGTCGTTCGACAGCTGCACGCCGTAACAATGCTTCGCTGTCGTGCAACCACCACCAGTCGCAAGCGGGCTGAGTATGCCGCGAGGACGCCCACTCTTACGCGGATTCGAACCCGCGCCGCAAGATTAAGGGCTAAGGTCGTTGCCACTATGCTACGGAAACAACGCGTTGATTTTTAAGCTTTCGGTTTTGCTCTGGACTGATTGTGACAATCTACACACAATGCGGGTTCTCCAAAATCCAACGGTTCGATTTGTTGATTTATGTGGAATATTTGAGACATAGTTGTGGTATTCCAACACAACAGATCGTTATGAAAAATAGAAACGATTCAGCCTCTGATACCCAGCTACGTGGTCCATCATTATGCGACTCGCAGTGCATGCTATTTGGATGACACATAGTCGTAACTGGAAGCACTTATCCCATTGGTGCGACCTAACGATACAGGCTAGATGTGCTATCGGTTGCTCCAAACAGTTCGAAAAGTATCGGAAAAAGCCAAATAACCTGCCAGCTTTTCTGTGCAGAGTATTTCGTCGGTTTTAGGGCGCTGTTTCCACACATTTTAATACGTACGTGCGACCTCACCTAAAATTAGTCTCCTCGTAGGGCAGCGTTTGCAGAAACCGCTGCACTTGGGAATCCACAAGAGCCGGCAAATACAAATGTGCTCCACCGCCTGAGAAGAAAATCCATCGGAATGTACGGTCCTCCGTATCGGTGCCTTCAAGTGGAATGCTTTACCGAGTCACGAAGAGCCCAACTCTCATTTACACCTATTCCTGGAACTCAGTCCTAATAAAAATCTTGGAGTTCATCATTTAGGCGTAGTCATATACTATTGCCGGCGAAACTACAACGTTTCTTCACAAAGTAGATGCGCCATTCATAAGGTGTCCTCTATGCATACTTTGTTACTGTTCTAGAGTTAATGATTTCTGAATATGTCCTGCTGTTGCATTAAACGCCTTACCTCTTCCTATTTACCTGCTGTTCGCCAAATGGCTACAGTACTCATACAAACGAACATCATTGATATAAGAGAAAAATCTGTGAGGAACCGATTTGGTTCTTCCAATTAAGAAGATACCACTGGTTTCAAACCGCATCAACAGGAGTCGACACTGAAAAACAAAAGCTCCATGCAACTCTTTGTACGGAACGTCCACATACATCAAGATAAATATTACGTAACTATTTGCCTGCATCCTTCATGGATGCAATCGAGACTAGACATTATGACAACTAGCGGACAGGGAACCTCACTGATGAGTACGTATTCCATGTATATATATATATATATATATATATGTATATATATGTATATATATATATATATGTATATATAAATATATATATATATATGGTTGGCGGCATCCGGTTTCGGATTTGCCTATCACTGTGGCAAGCCACAGGACGCCTGCCTCTACAGAGGGACCATGGATGGCTTGCGCTGCACCACACACAGCTCCATCCACCCACACCCCATATCCAGTGTAAACCCGAAGGAATAAGACCGGGAGGCATGCGGATGGGAACCATGTTTCATCAACGGAGCCGGCCCACACTCCTTCACAGGCAAACACAAGCACGCTGTATTTGGGGAATCAATCGCACACAAGGCTGTGGCTGGACCGTAGTCCGCTCCACACTGAGTGCATGGAACCACTCTTCGAGCCTAACACGGCCACAAGGACCGTGCACCCTGTTCCCTCCAGCAACGACCAACTGTCTCCTGGAGCCAGTATGAACGATGTAGTGGGTAATAGACAGGTAGGCACCTTGTCAACATACACATCAAGCGCAACCATACCAGGGATATCAAACAACAGCCATTCACTTTAAACGACAAGCTGAAATAAAATAAATCCAATAATGCCTACAGATACGGTGGCATAAGTTCGCTAAATTACCATATGAAGTAATTTGGTTTGCAACAAATGCGTGAAAAGTAAGAAATGTCTACAAGTTACTTAAAATGCTACAAACGCAACAAAATTACCGAAGATAAGCGCAATTAGTGTAAGCAACGTGGCCAGTTAATAGAACATTATTCAGGGAGGCAGAACAAACCAAATAAAGCGGAATGTAATTTATCCAGCTCTAAAAAACCTAGTTTAAGTGAAAGTTGGTTTAGCCCAACTGCGATGAAGAAGCATCGTGAATGCAACATCAGCCTCAGCATGGGGCATATATATATATATATATATATATATATATATATATATATATTTGTAGAGAGAGAGAGCGAAATTCCACCGTATGAAGTGTTGCCATAGTTTT